AACTTTCTTACTGACTCACTAACTTACTAACTTTCTTACTAACTCACTAACTTATTGACTGACTTAATCATTGTCTTATTTTACCTCATTTATTTTTCTTTGATTCACTCTTGCTGCTTACATTTACATATATGTTAACTCATTATTTTATAAAATATAGGAATATGCTTGAATCTAGCTAGAGCGGTGATTTACCAAACTTGCAATTTCTGTATGTATTCTTGTATTTGGTTATTATTTTTTCATCATTATTTTCTGTGTAAATTTTGATTTAATTCTTATTATATTAAATTTGAACTATGTATTTTTGTCGTTGACAAGAAATCCTTTTATTTCTCCAATTAAGGGAGACAAGAATTTCATGAATTATTCGTCTACATCTTAACCACCTTCGCCCCTTTCATCAGTGCATATAATGTTATGGATTAATGGATTTGAACTAAGGTAAACAAGTCCATGCAATGATTTACGAATTGACTTTTCAGATCGATGTTTATATTGTCAAATCTATTGTAAATGTTGTCTTATTTATAATCGGATATGCAATATTTTAATTATTTGTAAGGTAGAGTGGGAGATAAAGTGAGACTACAAAAATAGTAGTTTTTTGTTAGGGATGATTGTTGTTATCGTAGCTTGCAACAATTCTAAATGACACGAAATAATACTTACTGTCTGAGTCACGACGAGGTCGCTCTCTTTAAGACACTTTGTTGTACTACTAAAAAATTTCAAGTAGACTATCAAGCACGCCGTCCCCAGGATAAAATAGTTCAATTCCCTGTTTCTCGATTTCTTACTACACTGTAAGAATCAATCTCGAACACACCCACAATATGACTATCGATGCCAATTCTCGAAATTCCCACAATATGGCTACCAATGCCAATTCTCGATATATCCATAGTGTGGCTTCCCGTGCCAATTCTTTTCCTACAATCTGACTACTAGTGTCATTTTTCGAATTTCCCAGATTATGATTGCTTGTGCCAATTCTTAGTGCCACAAAAGAAATGGGTAGAAGTTTGTCGTAAATGCGTCAGCGAAAAATATGAGGGAGAAATAAAAAGCTGAGTAAAAATGTGCTCAACTTGGGACGAGAAAATATGAAAGGAGGATACTTTTATTTATAGCATGAAATTTTTCCCAAGATACTTCATCTTCCTATATGGGACTTGTGTAATTTTTCCAAAATCTTCCTATGTCAGACTTGTGAGTTTTTTCAATTTCACATGCAAAAGTCCCTACTAATGGCAACCAGCAAAGCAAATTCCAAAAATGAGTAATGTAATTTGTTTTGAAATTTTGAAGAGTAAAATTAATAAGTGAGTTATTGCCAGCTACTTTCAATTTCTAAACACTTCTTCAACTACCTTTTTGAAAAATAGCTTTCAAATTATACAAGCTTCCTTTTTTCTAAAGCTATAGAAGCTCGCTTTCATTTTAGTTTACTAATCAAATATAGTATGTAAGGACCGAAATTCTACCCTTGAAAATCTTTCATTTATTTTAATCCTCTCTTACATACATTCCTCATCTTACTTAAAACGATCTTAAATCATTCCTTGAAAATACTCTTTACACCTATTATATTATCATACAATATATATTGCGGAAAAACATAATTCATTCAATGAGTAATTACCACAAACAACCGGTTATGGGTTTCCCAATGTTATTACGTCCATAACTACGTATCTCCAGTAATATCATAATCAGATTTACATTCATCTCAAAATATTATCTAATCAACTATAATGTCAAAGTAACGATAAATGCATTCCAGTTAATAAACACATAAGATTCCTAAATGAGCTTCATCCTCAAATCCTTCGTTTACCTACAATGGGATTATCATAAACAACACACAAAACAAGGGAGTAAGTCATTAGTTCAAAAACTAACATCACATGATAATTCACATATCAAATACGATTAAGCTTTAATATAATTTATAACCATACATACGTAATTGTAAACATTCTTATCTTCTTCCTTTAATTTCCACGTTACTCATATTCATCTTATAGTATATATATCCCATAATATATATTCTATAGCATGCACATTACATCCAGGGTTCAGGGTCCAGGGTCCAGGGTCCAGGGGTCCAGGGGTCCAAGGGTCCAGGGTCCAGGGTCAGGGGTCCACGGGTCAGGGGTTAGGGGTCAAGGGTAACGGGTCAGGGGTAACGGGTCAGGGGTAACGGGTCAGGGGTAACGGGTCAGGGGTAACGGGTCAGGGGTAACGGATCAGGGGTAACGGGTCAGCGGTCATGGGTCACGGTTCAGGGTTCAGGGTGCAGGGTGCAGGGTCCACGGGTCAGGGTCCAGGGTCCGGGGTCTGGGGTCCGGGGTCGGGGGTCCGGGGTCCTCAGGTCAGGGGTATGGGGTCAGGGTCTTGGGTCCTGGGTCCTAGGTCTTGGGTCGTTGGTCCAGGGTCTGGGGTCCAGGGGTCCAGGGGTCCAGGGGTCCAGGGGTCAGGGGTCAGGGGTCCAGGGGTCAGGGGTCAGGGGTCAGGGGTCAGGGGTCAGGGGTCAGGGGTCAGGGTCCAGGGTCCAGGGTCCAGGGTCCAGGGTCCAGGGTCCAGGGTCCAGGGTCCAGGGTCCAGGGTCCAGGGTCCAGGGTCCAGGGTCCAGGGTCCAGGGTCCAGGGTCCAGGGTCCAGGGTCCAGGGTCCAGGGTCCAGGGTCCAGGGTCCAGGGTCCAGGGTCCAGGGTCCAGGGTCTAGGGTCCAGGGTCCAGGGTCTAGGGATCATTGATCGGTAAGGTTGGGTGACAGACTGGTGAACCACTCTAAGGATGTGTGTTTTAAGGTAAGTGAAAATGCTCGACATATGATGGGGTCAGAGACTCTGTGGAAGAACATGGATGCTTCGAATGCATCAAGATGATCCTGAGGGTCGGTTGTACCATCATATTGGTTAATGTTTGTTAGATGGGCAAACTGTTTGGGTATTAGGTAAGTTTTGCTCCACAGAAGTTTTAGTCGGATGAGCGAGTGAGGTTTGTGGTTTTTGTTTAGAGTGTGGGCTCTTTGTGTGCGGGGTGGGATTCTCTAGCAGGCTCGACATTATGTACATCAATAGCTGGCTATAATGGTATATAGCTCGACTCCGTTTTTGACTAGTAGAGCTCCTCTGACGTTTGTGCTTGCTATTGGATTAACTACTCCCCTTTCTATTATCTGAAGGAGATTTTCGTTTGTTGGATGTGATGGCCTTGTGATGGTATCATGGGTTATGCTGGCTTTATTGGAGGGTTGTATGTGTGATTGAGGATTGTGAGAATGAGTGTTGTGGTTGTGAGACATGTCGATGGGTACCACTTCTACTTGGTTCAGGCGGTTTGCTTAATTTATGGTAGTTACCATGGTAGGTAATGGTAAGCCAGAGATGACGCAAATGTTTTTTAGTATGGTGTTGGTGGAAGGTTCGGGCAAGAGGTCTTCTTGAAATCGCCTAAGTTGAGCTTGAACCAACTCGGGGAGGTACTTGAAAAGGTTCTTCGACACCCAACTCAATACATGAGATTAGAGATAATGCAAATGCAATAGTAAGAAATCAAAATAGTGAATAAAAATACTTCCTTATAGGGTGAGTCCCCTATTTATATTAGGGTTGTGAGACATGTCGATGGGTACCACTTCTACTTCGTTCAAGCGGTTTGCTTAATTTATGGTAGTTACCATGGTAGGTAATGGTAAGCCAGAGATGACACAAATGTTTTTTAGTATGGTGTTGGTGGAAGGGTCGGGCAAGAGGTCTTCCTGAAATCGCCTAAGTTGAGCTTGAACCAACTCGGGGAGGTACTTGAAAAGGTTCTTCGACACCCAACTCAATACATGAGATTAGAGATAGTGCAAATGCAATAGTGAGAAATCAAGATAGTGAAGAAAAATACTTCCTTATGGGGTACTCCTTTATTTATATTGGAAGGATGCATAAAGTATTCTCTAACATATGGTGTTGGTATGACCTACCGTTTGGGCTTGTTGGCATGCCTTGGACAAGGAAGGGGTAGTTTTTGTTCATATGAGGCGGACTTGATAAGGTCGTACTTTGTGAATAGTTGACTTTATAGCCCGTAGAAGGTCTAATAGCGGTATTGTAGGCTTGTCCTTGTCATACATCATGAAGTTAGGTGATAATTGTAGGTGACATGCGACATGTGATAGATGTCTACGTTACAGATGGCATGGAAGTCCCGTATTGGTGGTGATGACAGGTGGGTGACAGAGGTGTGGTCCCAGAACTGGCCCTTAGGGTTTTGTCCGGTCAACGACATACATCTCTGTATTGTTTGGCTGCTCGGATCGCGTCATAAGGTGAGTGAGATCTCTGGTCTTTGGTCAGTACCGAGAGATCCAACCCGACCAAGACGAGGATTGTTTGAGCAAGATGGAAGAAAAAGTTATTGAGAATGAATGTGTGCACAACTTATAAGAAATGTCCACATGCTAATTACAATGTGCAATAACATACTCTTAGTTCTTAGAACTAAGAATTTATGTCATGTCAGATGATGTTTCATATTGAGGGGCAATTACATACTCTTAGTTCTTAGAACTAAGAACTTATGTCATGTTAGATGATGTTTCATACTTCAGGGTATTTGAATAGATAGTAATTTTTATTACTTCAATTACTAGGTAAAAAAACTCAGCCAACCTTATTCTGAGTCCATTAAAGATATATTAACTAAAGCTAATGTATTCAAGGAAAATGGGAAAACCTAATATGAGGAAAGAGAGATATGACATAAATGTCCATTAACATGTTAGGTGATACTTTAACCATAAAAAAAGTCGATTCTAACATTATAAAATTTGAACCTTCAAAATACTCGATCATCCTATCAAAAAATAAAAAAATGAATGAGATATGGATTATGGGAGTGAGCTTTATACCTAGGAAGACATAATTTTAGCAAGCCAGCAAGCATAATACCCTTCAATCTGAAAACATATATAGACATACTAATAATGAGTCAAGATAGCTACAAAAAAAATAGATTTTGGACAAGTGGGCACATTACATATAGAACCTTAATATAGAAAAAATAAGAGAGATTAGTTGTGAAAAGAAAAAGGTGCTCAAAAAAATTAGGTTGCCTTAATATAATTCATTATCAAACAGAGTATACCTTTTGTGAGTCTCTTGATGCTGCACTGATGCACCAGATTTCATGTAACAAATTAGATTACTATATTGAATATAACATTCCTATCATTGATGATAGAGCAAAATTATTATGTCAATCGAAGAGTAATTTATTACGTAACTGAAATTACATATTCCTAAAGGGAAAGAATGAAACTTTTCACAAACACATATAAAAAATGCAATCTTTCATGACTGTGAGCAAAGAAGGGCATTATAAACCATATATACTTAAGATTATAGAAATAAGAAGAGCCTCACATCACATCTTGTGTTTATTTTGACAACCATAGTCCTAAGGTTAGGATATTCTTGGAAACTTGAGTAAGTGTTACTCCTTAACAATTCTCTGCAAGAAGAGAATAGAGAGAGAATTTAAAAATACTAATGAAAAGCAATAAAGTTAAAGTTGAATCTTTAATGGTTGGAATGATGAACATGACATGATCACTTTAGACATATTGTGAATAAGAAGAAAGATAATATAAAAGTCATTCTTTATTGTTTTCTCATTCTATGACAGAAACATGAATGTTAAGTCTGATCCAAATAATGAAAGTATCAAATGTGAAATTAAACCAAATATGCAAATTCTAATCGGAAGCATCAAGATTCATATACAAGAACCATATTGCTATTAGATTATTTTCTTCAATTAGAAAACCATTAATAATTGAGATAACCAACAAAATCATAACCATAAATTATATAATGAAAGGAAGTAAGAATATTGAAAAGTAAGGGAAAACAATGGTAAACAACGTACTGCTAAAATCAATGGGGAAAGAAAATGAGAATCCATATCAGTTACATATTCAATGGAATGGAAGTGATTGAATAAGTGATTGTTTTGGAAGGGTTGAACAGAGAAGGCATTAGTAAAGAAAGGGAAAGAAAGGAATTACATTGAAAGATTCATATACAACTATAGTTGCTATTAGATTATAACCAGAAATTATATATTGAAAGGAAGTAACAATATTGAAAAGTAAGGGAAAACATGATAAACACGTAATGCTATAAACAATGGGAGAAGAAAATGAGAATCCATCTCGGTTACATATTCAATGGTATTGAGGAATGTGAAGGAGAATAAAAAAATTGATTTTGCAAATGATTTTATGACAATGGAATGAAAGTGAATGAATAAGTGATTGTTTTGGAAAGGTTGAATAGAGAAAGCATTATATTATTAAAGAAAAGGAAAGAAAGGTGAGAGCTTTTTTCTGAAACCAATGCATGAAATGGAAGAAGAGGAGAGAGTGTAGAAATAGTTGAGAGTGTTGGTTTAGTTTTATTATTTTCAACGGCTATTTTAAACTATAACTTTTAACCTTTATTAACGGTAATATTTGAATATAATTAAAAGCTTCTCGGGTGCATTTAAATTGTACGTATATTTAAGTACTTCAAATTCCAGATTTTTTTTTAAATACAATGATAACATTCCTTGTAATAATCATATATAATCTACTAAGATCATATCTATTCGGAAAATGCTAACATATGTTTAAAATCATTAAGAATTTGAATGAGAAAAAA